ACTAAGACCTCGGCACTGTGAAAGACCCAACCGCTTCATTAGCAAAGGCTAAGTATTAAGTACCAGAGGCGTAGGCAGCTCGGGTGTGAGCCCTGTGAAGCGTAGCTCGTCTCGGTATATTGGTTGAACCCAGCAAGGAACGACCTGTGAACATATAGTTTGGGCATACATGGTAATTACTTCAGGGCATACTATAAGAATACCTCAAGCACCAAGGGACGACTCGGGGTAACAGCTACTGAAAAGTTCTACTTCGGGTATGTAGCTCTAACAGCTCGAGTGACAAAGTTGCTTCAGTAGAAAATAAAGAGCACACCATACTTAGCAAAAAAAAAAAGATAAAAATTCCATTTCTAATTTATATAAATAAAAAACCAGGCTTAACAGCCCGGGAAGAGTTCAACAAAAGTAAAATAGGACCCAACCACCCAAGAAAGAGATTTTAAAACCGGGTTCTGACACCTGGGAACCACCAGAATTCATCATTGAAGAAAAACAGAAGAGCAACCGGCCTCTGGGATCCACCGCCCCCACCTCGTCCTCATCCTCCGGAGAGTCAGGCTCCTCCTCCTCCGCCAGGTCCGCTGTCTTAGGATCCAAGCCCTTCATTGTTATGCCGTCGAGGTTGAGCCCAGAGAACTTCTTGCGGACCAACCAGCGGCAGAGCTTGAATCCAGAGCGGTACGAGCTCAAGCCATACTCCACTTGGAGGTCGTGGTACTCCTGGGAGTCCTTAAAGTCCCACACCGCCTTAGCCCACTCGGCCTCCACCATGGTGTCGAAGTTCCGAGTTCGGTCCTGAAGAGTGGACTCCAAGTCTCGAACCTGCTGGCGAAGAAGCTCCCTCTCCACTGCCATTATCGATGACTCCTCCCGGTAGCGAGCGATCTCCTTAGATAGTTGGGCGATCTGTGCCTCCTGGTCCCAGACGAGCAGTTCTTGGGCCTCGCTCCCCTTTTGAGCCTGAAGGACTTCACCTCGGGCCCGGTCGAGCTCGCCTTGGAGCTTCTGCACGGTTGACCTCTGATTACGAGTGTCACCGGAGTGGATGTTGGTTTGGAGGGCCATGGCGCGGATGGCGGAGTTCATTTGCCAATAGAAGACTAAGGTCAGAAAAGAGAAAATGAGAGAAAAGAAAGAAGGAAGAGAAAGGGCACTTATCACCATGCAGTGAGTGGAGGCGAATCTAGTGAGCGGAGACGAACCTAGTGAGCTCCTTGGGGTCCATCTCTCCCCAGCTAGCGACCTCCTCATGGTAGATCATCCTTCGGCTCTTTCGTGCAGCCACGATGTAGTCATTAACAACCTCCCAGTTTCCGGTAGGGAACTCCGGGAAGGGGAAGGGGCGGGATGACCCAGACAAAGGAAACCGCCCTTGCGTCGGGAGCTCGGGCTCTTCTGCGTCACCTTTCGTGGTGACCCCCTCGAATGGAACTGGTGGAACCTCAGGTGGTGGAGAAGCGAAGGCGGGGTCATCAGACTCGAACTCAGCGCCCGCAGAAGTGGAGGATCGGTCAGGACGCGACCTCTTGGCCTTGCGCTTCTGGTTGCTGGACAGGAAGCAGCATGCGTCAACACCAGACATGATGGTTGCCAAAAACCACAAGGTATTAGTCCAGTAAAAAAAAAAGAAGAGAGAAAATTTTACAAGGCACTACGCGACCTAAAAGGCAACCTACCCAGGCTTAGGCCAGCCTGCATGAGCTTTTCCTCGGTCAAGTAGTCCGACCAATGAAAGTCAACTAATGCCCAGGACTGCAACATGTTCCGAACTTTGGAGTCCAACTCAACCCCTGAATCCTGGATGGCGGCCTTCTAGTAAGCTAGGAAGTCCCACCCTTCGGGGTTACGGACTACAAAATAGTCCCGCTTCCAAGCCGGGATCCTATTCGATAGCTCGTATAAGAGCTTGAAGCCGCGGCGAGGAGAAAAATAGTAGGAACGCCTTTCTAGAGGCGCTCCAGGAGAAGCATTCTTGATGCAGAGGATGGTGGAAAGGATGTCAAGATTAAGGGGAAGACAATACTCATAAAAATAAAGAGATAGTCCCAACTACATTGCGAATGGAGTTGGGGTGAAGTTGGTCAAGAGTGTCGTTGAAGTGATTCAAAACCTCCACTATCAGAGGGTGCATAGGAAGACGGAGGCCAGCGATGAGCTGCTCCTAGAAAATCACTATCTCATCGGGACCGTGCTCCTAGGGATAGTTACCGGAAGGGAGACTATAAATAAGGTCTCCGGGAAGGTTAAAATGAAGGACTAAGGACCTAAGCCTCTCCATCGACATGGAGGAGGGACCAAAGCTATCTGGCTCCCTACCCCAAGAGGTAGAAGCAGTTTCGCCAAAAGCCTCCCAAGCTTCCAGAGCTTGCCTCCAAGCTTCCCCTGAGCTCGAGAGGGCGTCATCTTGGTCGTCACCCCGGGAAAAGACGTGGTACTGATACCTAGACATACTGGCGAAATGATAAGACTCACCAAGGAAGAAATGAACCGAAAAGATGGTGTGAGCAGAAGAAGAGCTCGGGCAGCTTGATGAAGACGCGACCTCAGAATCCGATAGCAAGGCAAGTTAGCGTAAAAGAAATGAGGCCTGGGGCCCTCCCATTTATAGCCACTGTGCCCTCAAATCGACGGCTCGGATTGAGACAAATCTGACGGTTCGCAGTCAAGCTGACTGCATGTCTTCTGAAACCGAAATGCGACTGGTTGCACGTCTCCCATGATTAAGGTAATGACGGTTGCACGTCTTTTTGAGTTAAGAGCCGCTTCTACACGTTCCTTTTGGCATTCAAAAGGTCCAGAGACCCCCTGACTTCTGCACGCGCATTTAATGCGATCAGTCAATCAAGTTTGAACTTCGGGTCAAATCCACCCGTCACACTTCATGAACTCCTCATGCTAAGGTAGCACCCTTAGCCCGAGGAGTGGGGGGCAATTGATGGAGGGAGATTTGACCCGACCTCTCGAGAAGGTGACACGTGGACATGACAGCACAACAGCCTCATCGCGACTAAGTAACGAGCCCGCAGAACAGCTCGCTACGTCACAACTCGCCATAGGGTGAGCTCACTATAGCGCGAGCTCGAGGACCCCCGATGTACTAAAAGGGAATACTCCAAGGCAAGTCCATCCCAGCTCGCTCCAATACTTAGCCAGAAAAACTGCCTCAAGGGCCACTTCAAGAGGAATCACCTCGCACTACCCTCAGGAGCTCGCTACAAGGTAGCTCGTGACAGGATACAAGGCAACTCGCTGCTAAGTGACGCAATGTCTTTAGGAAGCTTCTATCTGACAAGACCGTACCCGTCAGACTACGCCACGTCTCCTGACCGACGGCGTAGTCCCCGCCAGCCCAACAAGACTACGCCCACGTCTCTCGACAGATGGTGGCGTTTCTATCCTTCCGGGACATGTCACTCATCCGATTGGGTAGTACTCTGCAACGGTTACATGCGCAGCCCTGGAAGATAATGGCTGCAACAGAGGTCCAGTGGCGGTTGGCGGTTACGCCCGATTTGACAAGAACGCTCATATATAAGAGCCCCTTAGCCGAAGGGAAGGGATCTCTCAAATATCTTGAGTATCTTATCCTAAATATCTCGAACTTTCTCTCGAGCTAACTCAGTGATCTAGCACGACCTACACTCTTAGCCTTCTTTGCACTTTTTGCTGCTTTCTCTTGCGTTCTAACTTAAGCTTTGGAGTATTCCCACTGGGCAAGTCCCCTGGGAATCCTTCACCGTCTTCTTCTCAGGTACCGTCCATCGCCAGCTAGGAGCCAGTCAACTGCCAGCTAGGAGCCAGTCAACTGCCAACTAAGAGTACCCAGATTGCGCTGCATCAGTTAGTGTACAACTTAGCAAAAATTAATGGTCCATTTGGTTCAGAGTCTTCAGACAGGAATGCACCAAGAATAAAATTGCATTCAGCTAGCCCAAGGCCCAATCGGAATTGAAATTCTCCAGAATCGGAATCAGAATGGTCCATTCCCATAGTCTGTTTGGTTCAAAGTCTTCAGACAAGAATGAGAATGGGCATTGAAATCAGAAGGAATGGGATTTCATTCCCAAGGGGCAGGGAATGGCCATTCCCTCAAATAGGGGAATCCCATTGCAGCAGAAATGGAAATGAGATTTCGATTCCATCCAACCAAACAGTTGGAATTGGAATAGCCCATTCCGGTTCTGATTCCAGACCCCTATTCCCACAAACCAATCAGGGCCTAAATTTAGAATATCAAGACTGCAGCCAGCACGTTCTAAAAGAAGCAGCAAACAAGTCTCATATAGAGAAGGCCTATCAAAAGCTTAATTTGAACATTAGCAAACCAGCCAAACGCCCCAAAATTCTTGACTTCATTCTTTTTAAACGTCTCCTTGTGTGGTTTCATTCACTGTCATGCATTAAGCAATACATCACGCATCCTCGTTTTATTTCTATTTTTATGAAAACTGTAGTTTTGTACATCTTTTCCTTTGCAGGATCAAATGGAGAATAGCTGGGCCTGCTGGGGTTCAACATGATCCTAGGAACCAGTTTAGTGCCTTAGACTTTCTCTTTGTTTGGTTTGAGGGAAAAGGTAAGGAAAGGAAAAGGTAGGAAAACCTGTACATTCCTTGTATGGTATGGGTTCTCCTTCCTTTCCCAAGGTTCACCTGTGTATGGGCAAAAGTGTATCTATACTAAAAACCATGAACTTTTATATATTTTTTTAGTTCTTTTTTCAAAAATTGGCTAATATATATCTATATATATATATCATATCATATCATATCAAAATTTTGATCCTTGTCCTTTCCCTACCTTTACCTTCAAACCAAACATAGCCGTATGCATAATTCCCGTTCCTTTCTTCCAAGTTTTGAGAGCTTTAAATCGTTCTTCAGAAAATTCTTAAGTTGATCATTTGCTAACCACTTCTTTAACTTTTAGTTCTCAGACGCCCCTTAGACCTCTCTAGTGTGTATTAGACACCCAAAACGCATTCATGCTTCAGAAGATAATAGTACATAATCCTCATAGAAATACTTTGAGATTAAAGTCTTCTTTCCAACTATTTTTCTATGTTCAAATACATGCCCATGGTTTAGTAAGGGCATGCATAATAATGCAATGCAGCATTGATCAAGGTAAACTGATACAGCCTTTAGCATCTGTTCATGTATCTGCATAAAAATCATCTATAACAGCTCTAACTATCAATGGTATCCTTACTACATGGCCGCCATCTTCCCACGAGAGATATCCAAAGGAGTATCTGCCTTGCACTCTGAGTTGGGAATGGAAAATTACCTTGAATGTTAGCTTTTTAGCTGTAGAATTGAATGATAAAACTGGTGGCTCAACTTGCACGATCACACCTGGGGGTGACTTAACACGAACAGAATAAACAGAATTAACTGGACCCACATTGGTTACAGTTCTTGACACTGTCAAACTTTTCTTCAGCTCAGGAATGGAGATGGAAGGTAGATTGAGGTCTGCTAGTGACTTGGATGTTTCATGGCATACAGTAGGATGCTTTGTCATTAAACTGACAGCAGAGTCATTGTATCCCATTAAACAAAGGAAGCGTACATGATCTGTAATTCCCATATCATATATAAGACCAGGATCTGCAGATTTGTTAGGGTCGACATGACCACCCCCATATTCAAATGGGTCAGCCTGCTTATGTGGAGATCCCTCAGCTACTATACTTTGGCCATATTCATCTTTTGTAGAGGCTAGTAAGAGAGACACAAAGAAAGAAGGTCCATCAATTGCTAAATCTCATTACAACTACTTACAAAACATCTAGTGAAAAACCAATAACTTTCTGTTTATACCTGTTGTGACTAATGCAGATTTTATTGCTGCAGGGCTCCAGTTGGGATGCATTGATTTAAGAAGAGCCACAATAGCAGATATATGAGGACAAGACATGGAGGTTCCTGATTCAATTTTGAATTTAAGTGGAGGTACTTTGTGTTGATGTATACTGGATGATGGAGAAGCAGGTGACCATGAAGCTAAGATATTAACTCCAGGTGCAGCTATATCAGGCTGTAGAACACATCAGATCAGATGCTAAGTTAAAAAAAAAAAAAAAAAAATCATCAATAAGAACAGGATAAGATAAAGAAGATGCAGCACCTTCAACACTGAAGGAGAAAGAGAACTCGGTCCTCTAGAAGAGAAGAATGCCACTTCTGGGGAAATTTGTCTCCCAAGAGATGTCTTTGTAAGGCTAAATCTGACTACTGGATTTCTGTAGCATAAAATCACCAAGGCATCAAAAGTTGGTATTTATGGAAAACAAAGTTGGTATTCGACTAAGATAAACCTATTTTATTAGCCTAGTATCCCACAAGTAAGGGGTGATATAAGGCAGATATAGGGAAAAAAACAGAGAACTGTACTCAAATTTAAGCATTCAAAGGTTATCTATTTTCCAATATGCCAATATCAAACATAGAAACCATGCAGGTGACACATTTGAAATGCATTTGTAAATTTGTGTAGCAAGAAGGGAACCATCTGTTAGGCATGGGATACTGGGAGAATTTGGGGATGGCAGTTTTCCTTGAGAGCAAGGGAGTTTTTGGGTTGGAAATAAAACTTGAGGTGAAGGTTGGGTGGGAAACAAAGTGGCAGAAAATCAACATTTTGTGCAATTACAGTGCAAAGAACTTGTCCTGTTAGGAATCACCTGGTGCTTCTGATGTATTCCAGCACATGTGTTCCTATTGTAAAGTCAACGTGGATGCATGGAACACCTGGTGTAGAAGCAACATCCTTCTTTGGAAGTTGAGCAAAGATGACACCAACACCCTTAACTTTTGTTACTGTTCTTGTGGCAACAAAGGCTAACCTCTGTGACTGAGATTGGAAACAGAGAACCACCTTTCCTCTTGCTAGTGTCGCATTCAGAGATCCCACATCACAACTCCTGTAGGGGTGGAAGGAAAATTCATAGGGAAGAACATATGCTGTGAATTAAAAAAAAGACAAAAAAGGAAAAAAGTAAAATACTGCAAAATGTGTTCTACCTTGCTTTATCTTCATCAGAATCATTGGAAGCAATACTTTCTCCATAAACTATGGGATAGAACTTATCCACATGTTTCTCTGTAAGCAGAGCTTGGCCCTGTATGAGGAAATAGATTTCTGAGTTCCAGATGACACCATGAAGCCTTAAAACTAAACATTTGAATAAACGAAACTGAAATAGGGAAGTGTCTTAACAATACATGTTCAAGTAAGTGCATTCAACTATTAAACCAAGTCAATAAAATGTTGGCAGAATACAGTCCTAAAGCATAAGTTTCCACATGAATAGAACTTGGGAGGTAGAGTCTACTGTAGATTGTTTAGATTGTTTCATTTCTTCTTGGCCTTTGACCTATTTGGGTCTTCTCCTAGGTGCTAACCCTAAGGAGTATCAATTATGGAATCCGATTGTGGGAAATTTTGAAAAAATATTGGTGGCTTCGAAAAAGAATTACATCTCATTAGGGGGTAGAGTGACTTTGATTAATGCCACACTTGCCAACCTTCCAATTTATTTTCTATCAGTCTTTAGAATTCCCCCTAGAGAGGCTAAGAAGTTCAAAAGGGTGATGAGGGATTTTTTGTGGGAGCTGGGGGAAGCAAAAAAGTATCACTTGATTAGGTGGGAGGTAGTCAGTCGAAGCAAGGAAGAAGGGGGCTTGGGGTTAAGGAACCTAGCTCATAAAAAATGAAGCTCTACTAGGGAAGTGGTTATGGAGATGACCATTGGAGAGAGAAATTATGGCACGAGGTGGTGGCTAGCATTCATGGTTGTTCGTAAAATGGTTGGCATGTCGGAGTATCTTAATAGGCTACTCTTACAATACCTTGGAAGACAATACGCTCTATCCTCCCCCAGTTCCTCAGGTTGGTACGGTATGATGTTTGCTCTAGAAATACTATTCTTTTTTGGGAAGATGTTTGGGTGGGCAACCAACCTCTCAAAGACCTCTTTCCCTCTCTTTTACTCCCTTTTCCTTTATAAAAAAGAGACAAGCTCTTTCCTCTCTTTGGTTTTCATAGGGGGTTGAGGGATAGTAAATCTGCTTACAACACCTTGGAAGACAATATGCTCTATCCTCGCCCAGTTCCTCAGGTTGGTACGGTATGATGTTTGCTCTAGATATACTATTATTTTTAGGGAAGATGTTTGGGTGGGCAACCAACCTCTCAAAGACCTCTCTCCCTCTCTTTACTCCCTTTTCCTATATAAAAAAGAGACAAGATCTTTCCTCTCTTTGGTTTTCATAGAGGGTTGAGGGATGGTAAATCTGCTTGTGTTTCTAAGTTATTATTTTCACTAAGTCTATCTATTTGGATCCTCTCAAACTTGACAAAAGGATTTGGACCCCTATTCTGAAAGATACATTGTGCTTCTTTCTTCAAAGCCCTCTCTTCTTACTCTGTTCCTTAGGTGATCCTAGTTAAAGAAGTCTAGTCTAGGCTAGACCTATTCCCCCTAAATTGTTGTTTTCTGCTAGGAAGTTTACTATGGTAAGATTAATAATTTGGAAAACTTGCAAAAGAAGAGACCTTTGTGTTTATCGCCTAATTGGTGCATTCTTTGTAAAGCTCAGAATGAGGACTGTTACCACTTAATGATATCTTTTTTACTAAGAGATGGAGAATTATGCGGAAATGTATCAAAGCAATTCTTTTGTGGACTGTTTGGGAAGAAAGGAATGCCAAAATCTTCCTAGGAAAGGAATGAAGTATTTCTGAAGTTAAGAAGTGTATTTTGACAAGAGAAATTTATTGGCTGAAAAGTTTAAGCCTCTTTGACAGCTACTCCTTTGATGATCTATGGAGGAGTTGGTTAGCAGTGGCTAATACTTCTAGGAATAACATTTTGGTACAATGGACACCTCCTCCTGAGTGTATCCTTGAGCTTAACTTCAATGGGAGTAGCCAAGGTAATCTAGGACATTCAGGTATAGGAGAGGTTTTGAGAAATAAGGATAGCAACATCATCTCCTTATTTGCAGGCCCATTGGGAATTGGAGACTCTACAAGGGCTGAGGTACTAGCTGTTGTATAAGGGATCCAGATTGCAAATCAGCTTGGGGTGGAGAATTTACTAATTGAAGGTGATTCTAAGGTGGTTGTGGGGTGGCTCTTGAACCCAGATTCCGTCATTTGGGGCTATAGAGACCTAGTCAAAAAAGTTAAATAGCTAACAAGTAATATGAAAGTTAGAGCTAAATGGGTTGGCAGATGGGCAAATGCTTTGGCTGATACACTTGCAAAACAAGGTGCTTCTCGGGATTCTTTATATTGGACTACTTTGTAATTTATGTTCTAGTCTAGTTTTAGAAGCTGTGTTCAATCTTAAAGGAGAGGTCGCATCTCATGCCTCCCCTTGGGTTGCTTATAATTCCCTAGCCTCTTGATTAATAACATTTTTACTCATTCATCAAAAAAACAAATGATTCAAACGCCCATAATTTAACAATGGATATGACACTGAACAGAATGGAATGGCAAAGCAGGATTCATGTAACTGACCCCATATAGTTGGGACAAGGCTTAGATATGACCATGTATTCTCACTCAAGGCAAAACAGAATTTGATTACAAGATCAATTGGTCAAAAGGCTCTGGACAAGCATTGCAATGAATGAGAATACATGGTCATATCTATAATTCTATGTGCAGTAAGAGCAGGTATCTGGAATTAAAAAGAAAATGCTAACAGACCACAATGGTTTGGTTGTTCCCTAGGGTAATTGCTGTAGGAAAAGCTCGATCAATTGTACTTGCTGCAACAGTTATAATCCAGGGAGCAGTATTTATGACTGTCTGAGAGTAAGGACCAGAATTCCCCCCTGAGCAAACTACAGGAATCCCTTTAGCAACTGCATGGAAGGAACCAATGGCCAAAGTATCCTCAATGTATGGAGAAAGTGGTGGTGCTGAGCCTAGAGACACAGAAAGCACATCCACTCCATCAAAAATTGCATCATCAAAAGCAGCAAGAAGGTCAGCTGAGCTGCAGCCACCAGTAGACCAGCATACTTTGTATATAGCTAACCGAGCAGCTGAAGCACCTCCCCTTGCCAGCCCTTGAGCCAGACCCATAAAGCTTGCATTTCCCACCAGAGCCCCTGCTGCAGTAGATGAGGTGTGGGTACCATGTCCCACTGCATCCCGAGGAGACAAAAACTCAATACTACCACTTGTATTCAGCTTCCCAAATTCAGCTTCATATCCTTTGATATACCAACGAGCACCAATAATTTTCCTGCATAAAGAGGCCTAATACCTGTGATCAATAAAGACTTCAAATGCCAAACTAAGTTTCAACAGATGATTCCTTTCCTTCAAACAGTAATTTCTAGCACTTGAAAATTAATAGAATATTTTGAGAAACTTATCGACTATTAACCTCCCAGATTGATCACACTTTACGCAGTTGTTTGAAAAACTTTCAGAATATCCATATTCTTACAAGTTAAGATAAATAAATGAAGAAGAAATGAGGAAAATTCAGGAAACTACTCAACCCATATTTGCATTTCAAATTGGGTTTCACAATCTCTAACAATGGAGAATGACACCCAATCTAGTACTAGTAACTTTCCCAGGAAATACTAATACTACTCTTCAAATGGTTGTTAGAAAGTCACCACAACCACTTACTTATTCCACAAGATCAGGTTGAATCAATTACCTCGTCAAACAAGGATACTTATTCTTTTGAGTGAAATTTATATTAAGTATGTCAATCAGAAGTTAGTGCTTTTCCAGAACATATAGAGTACAAGATTGTCAGTAAAAAACCTATCATAATAATTCAGGGGTCAGTTATAATTACTGATTTTCTGATAAACCAGCTGATAAACAATCAAACAGGCCAAGAACATAATAATAATCCTACTGCCATTTGAAAGTTGAAAGATGATAATTATTTAAATCCTAATTACATGAGCATGTGAGGGGCATGTTAGACAGTTATGCCCTTAGCTCCAATCAGATTGATGTATCTTTTGACATTTATTGTAAATGAATAAAGTACATAATTGATTCATGTCATTGTAGTATGTTTTTGTGTAATACCCTTAAACTGGACACTTATGAGACTCGTTTTAGTTTATAATCTTCACAGTCGTTGGATAAATCTGGGGAG